TTAAAATGTGCGAAATATTATATTTATGATTTTTAAGATTTATTAACAGTATAAAAATTATATTAAAATTAAACTCAAATATAAAATATCGTTCACTTTTTATTTTAAGTTTCTGACTAAAGGAGTGAGATCAAAACCACTATTATGACCTTTCAGTTTACCCCTTAACGATGAATTCCCCATGCTTCTGTAGCATAGCATATAATAGAAAGGAATGGGTGAATTTTTTTTTATTTTTTTTAAGTTTTATTGTTGTGCACTATCGCTGTTATCAGTTATACTACTTTAATTTTAAAAGGTAATTATATATTTTTATGTTTATAATATTTTTTACGCAATTTATTAAAACAAATTTTCTCCCTTTACATTATATTGTTATAATAAAAATCATATAAATTTTTATATAAATACTTTTTTTTTTCATTTTTTTCAATGTTTCTCCTCTCAGTTCCTTCTCTCTTCTCCAATGTTTTATTTTTGAAACCCTATATGTAGCCAACAATTCTGTTTAAACAGAGATTTATGAAAAGAAAATATTTTTCGATTATAACATAACAAAGATGCAGTCCGTATAGATAGATATTTATCAAATCTATTAAATACCAATAGACTATGCATTTTTAGTTGGTACTGACATGAAAGAAAAAGATAGGGATGATCCTCTTAGAGCATATTGAAAGAAAGGAAGATAAAAAAATTGAGGGACATGTTTATGTTTGTTGTTTATATTTATGTTTTGTTTATTTCTTTGGTTTACGTGGTGTTCTATTATATGGTTGGTTTCATTTTGCACTTTAACTTCAGATATTTTGATTATATATTGTATTGGTGGTTAAAGCTTATTTTGGTAAAGTTAGAAGTTGAGTTGATAGTTAAATGGTATAAAATTAGCTAATGTGTAAGTGATATATGAAGTAAATGCAAAAGTTAACTTTTAGAAAATGTTTTAGAAAGGTCTTTTTGATTTTTAAAAGTATTCCATTTATTTTGGTGAAAGTAGTTTGGAAAGACTCAACTAGAAAAGTGTTACAATTCAATGATTTGCTTTGAAAGATCAAAGCAAAGGGTTTTGTGTGAATGTAAAAAATTGAGATTTTAAGTTAAAATGGAGTTAGGATGTCATATGCATGGAAGTAATCAATTAGAAATTTTAAGCAATTTATCTTTTAATCAAGAAAATAATTTTTAACTAAGTGAGTGTAAAAGTGAGTGTCGTAAATACTTGAGTGAACTTCACTAAATTTTGTCAGTCAACTTTGTTTGAACTTCTAATTGCTGTCAAGTATAATAAAACATGGAAATGATTTATTATACTTTGTAAATATAGTTCATAGCTAAGAGCTAAAAAATCAACCCATATTTAAGTTTTATCCAATTTTCACTAGTGGAAAAAATATTTTTAAAATCGGTTATTTTTTATTTTTAAAATCGATTGTTTAATCGATTTTGAAACGACCAATTTTAAATAGTGAACTTTTTAAAATCAGTTAACAACCGATTTTGAAACTAAACTTTTAAAATCGGATATGACACAACCGATTTTAAAGGATCAAGTACTTTTAAAATCAGTTATGCGGAACTGATTTTAAAGAGTTCACTTTTAAAATCAGTTATGCGATAACCGATTTTAAAAATAAAGTTTTAAAATCGGTTATGGCATAACTGATTTTAAAAGTTCACTTTCAAAATCGGGTAAGGTATAACCGATTTTAAAAGTGGTGATTTTTTTTTTAATAATTAGCTTGTTTTTCGAAAGAATCAATATAAAACCTGCAAATCAGACAATTCAGACAATTTCAATGATGCACAATTTCCATAAATCACTTCATATAAATGACATCTCAATCATATTTATACTCCAAAGGAAAAAGAGTTTTAACTATGTCCAAAACTATAAACATAAGTCCTAACTAATCAATGTGTTAAGAAAAAATGTAGCCCATTGGTCCCTAATGGTATTCAAGACTTCTTGTGGCAATGATGATCGATCAATAAATATCTGTAAAGAAAAATTAATAAAATTAGAAGTAATTCATAAAACATAATAAAATTAAAAAACTTAAAATAAGAATTTTGAAAATTATAAAACTCACGTCAGTCCAACCCGATACTATGTCTAAATCAACAATAGTATGCATTGTCTTCATTACATAATATCCACACTCAAAGTTTTCTTTTTGCTTATGAGACTACAAAAAAGAAAAATATAAAAATCAATTTCAATAGTAAGGATAATAAAAATAAAATACATTAGATTAAATATCATTCATGGAATTAAAATAACCTACTTTAAGAGATATCCAAAGCATTTTTTTCTTCAATTTTGAGCCCTTGAGTATGTAATATCCTTCCATTGCTCTGATAATAAAATAACATTATTATTATGGTTTAAAATCAAATGTAATGATAATCAACAAAGGAAAGTAGTTGTTTTTAAAATACTTACTTATCTAATAATTGTTTGAACTCTGCAGGCAGAGGTCTATGCAATGAACAAATGCATACAACTTTATTTTCCATAGGACAAATAACCATTAGTTGCCAATGAGCACTACATTGAGAAACATATGTTGAGATAGAATACACTCTTAAAACTTTTTGTAATCAATTAATGGTAAAGATAACTTACTCAGAAAAGTAAGGGGCTAGGTAAACTTTTTTATTTGAGTCAGCCATCCAATTCTGGATGTAAGCTTGCGATTCTTCTGTCTTGTTCCCACTTTTTTGGATTGACTCGGGTTCCAAAAATCCATAAATGTGGTCATTTTTCTTATTGACACTTAATTTATGAATATATCTACAAGGTTAGAAACAAAGTTAGAATAAATCAACAAAACAAAAATGGAATTCATTAAAATACTTACAATAACCACAACTGCAAAATTGATATGTTCAGCATACAGTGCCCATTAATAATCTCTGATATGTCACTTTGACTTATATATAGAGGTATATTATTAGATCTGCCAAACACCACATGTGGCCAAGGGACTTGTTTGGGTCGATCATCATCTTCCATATCTGCGACTAATCTCCATAGCCTCTTTATCGGAGGTAGATTTCTTGAAGGGGTAACCACAACCTTCTCCTTATCCTTTGGTGGGGCAACAACATCCTATTCAACAACGTACAATTTTGATATTATACTAAATTAGAAGAAAATAACACTAAGTTAAAATTAAATATTACTTAAATAACATACCTCTGAAGATATCATCTTCACCAAACTCTAAGGCCACTGAAGGAAGGTGTTTAGGGCTTGTCCCATCATTTGAACCTCCTCTGTCGGCACATGAACTCTTGCCTCTGGATGTCTAACATCCATTACTGAAACCCTAACCATATCATCTCCTATGGTTCGATGGTGCACAGTAGACCCAAACATGTGAATCCTCCCTATGCCAACAGGATCGGGTGATGCATCGACAAACAACTCACATCGATTAGAGGTATCAGGGTCAATAGCAGTAGTAGAGGGATCAGCACCTACACATGATCCCTTTGTACTCACACGTGTAATAACTGGTTCAATCAATGGAGTATTGTGCTGAAATTGTTGGCTAAGTGACTGTAAATGCTCTTGTAGTTGCCTTTGCATGTCCTCCTTCATCTGTCTATGAAACTCCTCTTTCACCTGCCTATGAATCTCCTCTTTCATCTGACTTACAACTTGAGAGACCTTCAGTTCCACCAATTGTTCAACTGAGCTAGATGACTGTGAAGATGATGGTTGTCCAAAGTAAGTCCGCAAACCATAACCTCCACCAACTGCCCGAACCCGACCTGCATGCTCAGGTTTCCCAATGGCAATAGTTAGTATATCATGTTGCCCATGGGAAACAAAAGATCCCTCTTCAGCTTGTTGCTTTAGTACATCCTACAATATAAGATACCAAAAATTTAATAAACCCTTTGAAATATATGTTAATTAGCATCATATGTACAACAAAATTATACTTACTATCTTGCTAGCAATCTCTTTTGCTGCCTCAGTTGTAAACTCGCCCGTTTTCTTAATACGAGCAAACTTCCATAATTCATGACGTGTGGGTGGAGAAGGAGGATCACTAACTACAGTCTCATCTTCACTAGCCTGACGTTTCATAGTCTTCTCCTTCATCAACTTCTTCTTAAGCCATGGATAACCCCCACGTGACATCACACAAAAGGTGTCATTATTTGCCTGCGTCTGTTGTGCCTTCTTTCTTTTCTCCTATAAAGATATCATATTATAAGAGTAAGGGTAAAAATTAATATTCACAAATGGTAATGTATATAGTCATAACATACTGTAAACTCTTCAGTCATTCTAGACTCTACAAATGCATTCCATGTCTCATGATCAATAGTGGGGTTTTTATCACCAGGAAATTCTCCTTTCTTTTCTCCAAAAATGTATTGGTTTGTCAAAGTAGTTTTATATGCCCTCCACCTTTCAGCCACAATAGAAAGGGTTTTCCTTCTCATCTTTTCTATTTTTGGAATGTCCCAAGTTTCCTACAAAGATAACAATAAGTTAATACATGTTGATATCCTAATCTAGTTTAATAACAAAAATGTTAAGTATAAATAACATTTTACCATAACATCTGCCCAAATATGATTTTTTACAGCCTCCTCTACATGATCCCAATTGGGCAATAAAATAGAAACCTTTTGTTCTAGCATGAACCCCCATGGTACTCATAAACTGGGCAGCTGAATCCCCTGTAGGATGCCCAATGATCTCATCTATGTCAACATGTAATCTCTCTTCATTAAGGTGTTTGGCTGTAACATGTTTCATTTTAGTGGGACCTCTAACTTTTTTCTTATTTGTAGATTGTGTACTACCTGAAGGAGAGGCTTGATGTTCATCCATAATTACTTGTTAACTGAAAAATAAATTACAAGTCATTAGTATAAATTGAATTTAAATAATAACATATTGTACTTAAAAGACAACAAAAATTAGCATCATAAATAAAAATTAATAACAATAACCTATTTCAAAAATATGATCAAGTTTCATTGTTCTCCCATATTCCTTCCTGATGATCCTCACGAGTGGCATATACATCATCCACATCATCTTCATTAAAAGTTAGCACACGTGTTGACAAGGAATGAGTATCAATTATATTACTTAAATCTCCAAATTCTTCATTTACATTGTTACTTCTACCCTGTAGAACAATTGACCACCTTTTATTAGATGGATCGGTGACATAAAATACTTGCTTTACTTGGAAAGCCATGATGAAAGGCTCTTCTTTATGACCAACTTTATTAAGGTCGACCAAAGTAAATCCAAGTTTATCAATTTTGACACCACTATTACTATCAACCCACTTGCATTTAAATACAGGTACTCGAAATGGACCATAATCGACCTCCCATATGTCTTCAATAACTCCAAAGTAGCACATAAAAGCTGTGATAGGGTTGTTATCATTTTTTGTTGAGAAATGCATAGATTGAGCAACTATCATAACCCCACTATTTTGCATAGTACTCTTGTCATCCTGTGCCTTTGTATAAAAGGAGTAGTTGTTAATGTCATATCCACAGAAAGTAAACACATCAAAGGTAGGTCCTTGAGCTAAGCGTTGTAAAGTTTCAGAAACACTTAAATCTGTCCCAACATTCATTTTAAACCACTCTATGAAAGTCTTGTTATGCTCATTCAACACCCATTTTTCAGGCATTCGAGGGTTGTTTGTCTTCACTAAGTCTTTGTGGGCATTTAAATAAGGTAAAACCTCATCAGTGTTGTTCAATATATACAAATGTGCTTGAAGCACTTCTTCTCGCATCATGCTTTTCAATTTTATGCCTATTGTACCCTTCCCAGCAGTTCGTCCCTCATGACGGGTCTTAGGAATGCCTATTGATTCAGCTTGAGACATGTATTCAGTACAAAACTCAATTGCTTCTTCTGCAATGTACCTTTCTATAATGGATGCTTCTGGACGATGTTGGTTCTTCACATACCCTTTCAATATCTTCATGTATCTCTCAACTGGGTACATCCACCTCAAAAAGACAGGACCACACAACCTAACCTCCCTAACCAAGTGGATGATTAAGTGAACCATAATGTCAAAAAAGGAAGGAGAAAAATACATCTCCAATTGACACAATATTAAAACAGCTTCATTTTCCAAATCATCCAACTTTTGAGGATTAATTACTTTACTACAAATGCCATTGAAAAATAGACAAAGTCTGATTATGACTTGTCTCACATTTTTAGGTAAAACATCACGTATAGCGATAGGAAGAAATTGTTGCATTAGTACATGGCAATCATGAGACTTCAAGCCAACTAATTTCAAATCTTTCATTGATACTAAACTTTTTACATTGGAAGAGCAACCGTACGGCACTTTGACACCACGTAAGGACTCACAAAAACTTATTTTCTCCTTTTTTGACAATGTGTGACATGCAGGGGACAAATATGTTCGCTTACCCATAGGTTGGGGATACAATTGTTCTCGTATTCCCATGAGTTGCAAATCTAGACGAGATTTGAGTCCATCTTTTGTCTTACCTTTTAAATTGAGAAGTGTGCCAATTACACTATCACATACATTTTTCTCAACATGCATGACATCAATGCAATCTCTAACATCAAGAACTTTCCAGTAAGGAAGATAAAAAAATATCGACCTTTTCTTCCATATGTTTTTTTCTTTGGGTTGTTTTTTCGACTTTCCAAGTACCACATTTAAATTCTTTACCCGGTCATAAACTTGCTCACCGGTTAATGCAGTAGGTGCTATGCCATATTCTTGACATCCATTAAAAGCTTTCTTTAACCTTCGATATGGATGGTTAGGTTGAAGAAATCTTCGATGACCAAGGTAAACTGTCTTCTTCCAATTAACTAGTTGATGGTAACAAGTGTCCTCTTCACATATAGGGCAAGCTTTGTGCCCTTTAACACTATACCCGCACAAGTTTCCATATGCTGGAAAATCATTGATTGTGAAAAATAACATGGCATGTAACTTGAATGATTCACATGAATACCCATCGTACACATCAATTCCCTTCTCCCATAACATCTTCAAGTCTTCAACCAATGGAGTTAAATAGACATCAATGTCGTTTCCGGGCTGCCTTGGACCAGAAATCATCATAGATAATATCACATATTTGCGCTTCATACACAACCAAGGAGGTAAATTGTAAATTACCAATAAAACAGGCCATGAACTATGCTTAGTGCTTAAATTACCAAACGGATTCATTCCATCCGTAGCTAGTCCAAGCCTAACATTTCTTGGCTCCTTGCTAAAATGTGGAAACATAGAATCAATTTTTTTCCATTGTAAGCAATCTGTTGGATGCCTAAGTTGTCCATCACACTTCCTCTCATCTTCATGCCATCTCATTAGCTTTGCGTTATCCGCATTAGCAAAAAGACGTTTTAATCTCGGAACAATTGGTAAATACCATAAAACCTTAGCTGGAGGACCCTTAGTGCTCACATCATAATCAGAATCATCTTGCTTTTTTTTATATCGTGACAACCCACATTTTGGACACTGATGCAACCCTTCATATTCACCATGATACAACATACAGTCATTTGGGCACCCATGTATCTTCTTATACTCCAAACCCATAGGACACAACACCTTTTTTGCCTCGTAGTTACGACTAGGCAATGCATTACCCTTCGGAAGCATTTCTTTCAATAGTTCTAACAATTCTGTGAAGCTTTTATCACTCCACCCATTTCTTGCCTTCAGATTGAACAATCTCAATATCGCTGACAATCTTGTAAATTTCGTGCAATTTGGATACAACGGCTTCTCCGAATCACTACACAAAGATTCATACATATGTGCTCGCTTGAATGATTTTGGTCCCACATCACGAATCATCTCCTCTAATTGATCATCCATATCTATCTCTTGTGTAAAAGTTTGAGTTGGAGTTTCAATTGAGACAGTTGGAATGTCAATATTTTCACCATGCCATATCCAACGTGTATAATTCTTAAGAAAACCATCACAGAGAAGATGTTCCTTTATAACATCAAGTTCTAGACGACTTCCATTACAACAATTAACACAAGGACAGAAAAATTTCCCATTCATATCATTATTAGCATTCTGTATTACATATTCAATAAAGTATTCCACTCCTGTCTCATACTTCCAACTTAAGCGTGATTCATGTATCCAACTTCGATTCAATAACCAACTTTTATCCATGACTTCTGTTCTTTATAAAAAACCATATATCATGCTTATCAGTCTCATTTGTATTAAATCTCAAACAAGAAACTAAGATTCAATCAATTCATGCATAAATTTAATATCATATTAATTTATAAAAATTAAATAAAGTACCTAATCTTTATAAACACTTGTTACTAATAAATATCATATAATTATAATAAAAATTTAAACATTTATTATAGTTGTGGATGCAAATCTAAACAAAGTTAGAAACTTCTTAAACCGAAATTGTTGAATGGCAATTATAGTTGTGGCAGAATAAGAACCAAAGAACAATAAACTTTATGGAATCCCATTTTCCTTTTGAAAGCAACTAAAGGGAATTTAAAGAAAGCCCCTAACTAGCTAGCTAGCTAAGCTAACATGTCCTTTTTGATCCACAACTATTCATTCATCCTTCTTTTTGTTTTCCCTTACCGTTAATAAAATGTGAAGGTTACGAACAATAATTTTGTTGAACTTATTTACACAATAATTTTACTTTTAAATGTTAAATTGAAAAACTTATATAATTAATAAGCATTACTTTCCACAAAAATTCCCTTACCACAGTGATAAATGGTAAACGTGGCTTGATAAAATTATTGAGAGTAAAATATATCAAACTTACGAGACAAAAGCATTACATATGGAATATTAAACTAATTAACAAAGTAGCAGAACTCCTATGAACACTAGCCACCATTTATGTTTTAACTTTAATCAGAGCCTCCACTCCAAAATGCCTTCTTTGGGCCACACCCCCCTGTCACCTTTGTAGCTTTGCCATCTGAGATCACTCCTTCACATTTACCTCTCTCACCCATTTGTTTCACTCAATTGAATTACCCATTAAACATCATAACAATATACAACACTTTCCCATTAATAAAATTGCTTAATGCTCCTTAAACAAAAAAATATTGACGTCTTTTTTATTTTTAAATAATTAGAAAAATGTCAAATTATTTAAGATTCATTACAACAAAAGTAGTAATTCATTTATTTATTTTTATCACCACAATTAAAATTATAATTCCTCGTCAGTATTTTCTAAACTAACATATAAATCCCATATTTTCTAGTGATAATTCCTAGTGTGTAAATACTTAACAGCACTATCTCTTCAAAGAAATTGATCATCTCTATTATTCAATCTTGAATTTCCTATTAAAAATAAGCAACGGTCATTCAGGAAACCAAAAAAGATGACATTGTGAATGATGCATTCACGAACGTTACTATTGGCATCTAAATTAGAACGTAAAACCAAGTACAGATAAAGAAAAAGCATCCAAAACAGCGAAAGAAGTGAATACATTACCTAAAATGCGTGCACTTGCCTCCGACCTAAAGATTGCAGCTTTAAATCCTGCCCCCACCTTTCAACCTTCTCTAAATCCTGAGTTTTTTTTTTAGAAAACCTCCTTCTTTAGTAGATAGGCCGAGACGCTCATTCAACCTTCTCCAAATCCTGAGTTTTTTTTTAGAAAACCTCCTTCTTTAGTAGATAGGCCGAGACGCTCCACCGCTAGACCTTGCTTTGCCCTTCTCTGCTGGAAGGAAGCCTGAGGAGCAATTGCCGGCCCGGAGCAAATCTATTATATTAACGGATGGGAACCCCAGAGTTCTCTAACTTGCCTAGGTCTTTGCTGAGTGCTGGAACGAGAAGGGGCTCCTCTGCTGCGAGAATGACTCAATAAAGGGAGATATTTGTATAAAAAATCATACAAGATCGGTTAATTAAAAAACCAATTTTATATATATCTTTTAAAATCGGTTAATAAGAAAACTAATTTTATATATATCTTTTAAAATCGGTTAATAGAAAAACCGATTTTATATATATATTTTAAAATCGGACATACACAACTGATTTTAAAACGCTAGCAATTATTTACAAAATTACCACCGCGTCATTTTTAAAATCGACTACTTAAGAACCGATTTTAAAAGTGTGATTTTAAATTTATTTTTTCCACTAGTGTTTTGAAAGTCCTTTGAGTCTAAATTTTAAAATTTTAGAAAAGTCATGTACTTTGAGCCCTTACATAAAAATTATTATTTTCTAAATCTTTAAGAAGGAGCATTAGAGTATGACAGAAATTGAAGGTTATATTAGAAAATTTTGAGTTAGTTGTCCATGGAAAATGAAAGAGTGATTGGAATCCCCTTCTAAAAAAGAAAACAAAACAAAACAAGTGTGCACTAAAAGAACAAAACTAAACGAGTAAAAGTGAAGAAAATTTGTGGAATTAGAAGGGAATGTCCAAAATGAACAAAACATATTAGTATAGTGTGGTGAGGAATAAAAAGGATTAAAAATATTAAATAATGGTATTCTTGATTGCACTAGTGCTTTAACTCACTTTGAATTCTAGAAAAATAATGATTCATTTGTAATTTAGCCATATTACAACCTTTTTGAAAGACTTTATGATTTATGTCTTTTGTGTGTACCTAATTTGATAGAAGTGAAGAGTAAAGTTGCACCTAAGGAATTCAGTATGGAAAGTGAGAGACACTTAACTTGTGAGAATGAGAGGGTTTTTTTTTTTAATTAATGAACGTTGTCGCTCTTATTTTCTTGAGAATGAAGTATATTAACATCCTAATTCTTCTAAATTTTTAACCAATATCTTTGATTATAAACAATGCTCTTTAGTTGAAAAGTTGTAAAGTAAAGTAAGAAAGCTTATTCCTTCTCAAACCATTTTCAAAGGTTTCTCATGACAATTTTTGTTACACTCAATTACTTTACTTAAGGGCAAGCAAGATTCTATGTTGGGAGAGTTGATAAATGTAAAAATTGAATAGTTTTAGGTGATATTTTGGATACTTTTCATATATAAGCATTTGAATTTTTTATTCATTTCTCCCTAAACTTAGAATTTTTACAATTACTTATTTATTTAAGAAGAAGAATACAAATTTAATTGTTTTGATTCACTTTTTATATATTTTGTAGTTTGAATATAAGGAGAAACATTTCATAAGTTGAAGAAAATTTGATGACTCAAGCAAGAACATGAGTCTAAAGATAAGAAAGCTTCTGATAGTCTCTTGCAACAGCAAGAGATTCTCACTGCAACGAGGAAACACTTTTGAAGAAGGAATGATTCTGTGATTTTCTCACTACAACGAGAGATTTATCGTTGTAGTAAAAAGTAAACAAAGAAGCTTGTTTTGAACACATTGCAGCGTAAAACAAGCAAAGTGACCTAATTTTTCTTCTTGCTCTCACTACAGGACCATATTCTTGCTATAGTGAGAATAACTTTGTCCCGACTCATATAAAATGGCAACTTGTGTTTTTCAAAAGAAGTTACTGTTTAATAGGAGATTTGGAGAGAGAGACAACAGAGAATGTAGGAAAAGAGTGAGAACACTTAGATTCAAGTTCTATAAGTCATTTTTACTCTTGCTTAATGTTATGGCTGCAATAAGCAGCTAAAACTCTTGTGAAATTGAATGTAAATCTTTAAATTTAATGTATATATATTTGTTTATTCTTCATTTTTATTGATTTAGTAATTTCAATGTGTTTAATGCCTGAATCTATTTACTAATAGCTTCTTGAGCTCAGATCTAAATTATATCAGAAAAAGTATTGCTCAAATTCAGATTTGATTGAAATTACTCAGTAATTGGTTATTTTAAGAATAAATTTTGAGTTATTAATTACTTTAAATTTTGATTTTAATGCTAGATAGTTTATTAATTATTTGAAGAATCAACCTTTAAATCACTAGAATATAGAAAAAGAGATAAATGAAATTCAATCTCATTTTCTCTAATTTAATTTTAACTATATTTTATATCATTTTCTTAAATTGTAATTTTTATACAGTTCATATGAAAATTATCAATCAATCTTTGTATATATGCTTAACTGATTTAAATCTTAATAATTAATCTAATTTGTTGTTCTTTTCGAGAATAATACCTTAATATCTTATCGATCCTTACTTGTAAATGATACGGTTCACTGGCTGTACGTTAAAAAAAAATTCATCATTAATCAAGATATAAATATATTAAATATTAATAAAATAAAATGTTAATATAAAAGTACGATAACACAAAATATGACAGTAAATTAATATTTTGAAGAAAAAAAAGGTACTGGCCGTTGTTGCTCATAGGGTCATAGTCCAGATTGACAATTCTTAGCTGAAAAGGATTAATGGTTGATGGTCCATGGCTATGCCTCTACATATATATATGACCCAGCCATAGAGGAAGCCCTCCAAAATAGGAACTTCACTTGCTTTTGTACTACAAAATAAAATGGCTCTTGGTTCAGATTAATTTCAGCCTAAGAAAGACCAAAGAAAGATCCAAACAATCCTGTTGGTTGGGATGATATCTATGATTACGACTTGTGAAATGTGATTTTGTGTATTTTTGGGATAAAATAAAAAGTAGATAGATATTTATCAAATCTATTAAATACCAATAGACTATTGCATCTGCATAATATAATAATTTTGAGTGGTTCAAAATAATGGAATTATTTATTAATTGCGTCAGGTTTAAGTGACTCCTTATTGCATCAGCTTGGAGATGCCGTTTCCATTCACCAGGAAAGAAGGGTTACGGATCTTGCTACAAGCACGTGAAATCATGATCAATATTTTAAATATATGGGCATGTGTTTAATGGGGAAATAATGCATGTGACGTGTCCATAGGCACTTAAGAACAATAAGCTTATGGTTTGAAGAAACATTTGGCACCACACCTAGCAATGTCATTTTCGCCATCAATGACTGAGTAGTGCAATGTCCCTTGTACATTTACTTTGTTGTGGTGAAGATTCTTCGCCATCAATGACTGAGCAGTGTTAATAAGATTTAACGAAATTTAATTTATTTTTTTAGCAGCAACAATGTTACAAATACTGTTACTAGAATAAAATTTAAATGTAGCACTTTCTTTCGTGTAAGAAATTTAGAAATGTCTAGTATAAGTAAGCAATTTAAGACTAAATTT